GACAGACCACCATCAAAAACTTAACCTGGCTGTGGATTGCGGACTCATCGAGTTTCGGACACAGTTCGTGCAGCACAGTTTGGGCCCTGCCATTGGCAAAGCAAGCTCGTGACCAATCTGCAGGGTTTGGGATGTTTTTCCTCGGCCTGCAGAGGCAAGCGGGCAAGCCGTGGTTTTTAAGATCCAACGAACCATTCATGTACTTTCTGCCAAGTTCAAAGAGAAAAGTGAAAAGAGCACTGCTAGGGCACGCTAGGACACTGCTAGCCGCTCCTGTGTCAATCGTTTCTGTTTAGACATGAGGCTTGAAGCAGATCAGAGTGAAAGGTGCGATGGAACTTTGCTGAACCTCTTAGTTTGTGGACAGGACTGGTCAAACATTGTCTGGGCTTTTCAAGAGTAGCTAACACGCAGCAGACCTTGTTTGTCAAGCAGGAAGGTGCTATTGGGACTCTAGTGCAAGTTGCCCAGGGCTGAAGAGCTGCCCAAGAGTTGACTCGTGCTTCTCACATAGCCTGAGGGAGCATGAGCAGGTATAGGATACGAACTTGCTGCTAGCTCCCAAGATCATTAGAGTGCAGCGACAGCCCACTGTGCTGCGAGGCGCTTTTGGCCAGAAAAGCTTGCACCACCTGGCAAATAAGGCATTTAGCCACACCTGCCTGCGTTTTTGTTCGCATAGAGGTGTTTCCAGTTAAATCCTCCTGCTGATATGGTTTGCAAGATTGGCAGAGCCTCAGGTCCAGGTACGCCCACCAACTAATGCATTGTTCATAACGCAGTCCGGACCACCTGCGGCCACAGTTGTTGTGGACCTTCCCAGTTCAAGCCATGAAGCAGATGAAGAAATCTTATGTGCCAAGCACTTGCATGTCGCCTCATACATGATGATAGAGTCACTTTCTGCATGCTGGGCGCTGCTAGAGTGTACGCCAACAATTGGAGCGCTTTCCAACTGATCCAAGTCAATCAAGTGAGTCTGCTGGGTGACCGCTGACCGCAGCTTGAGATGGAGAACTTCGCTGAGGCTGCAAGGCTGCCAACGGGAAGGAGATTAGTTTGATTTCGAAGCCCTCCACATCTGGAGCAAACTTGTTGTTCTTTTGGCCGCCAGTGTCTGGTTGAACCTGACATTGCAGGATTTAGCTCTTGTAGAAAGTAGATCAACCTAGCACACAACCGGCCTGCAAATTGCAGTCCAAACAAGTACTTGATGCTCCGACAACATTCTCCTGCCCTTTCTTTGCCGCGTCTCCATTGTTGGTTCGTTCGGTAATGGGTTTGAGCTTTCTACTTCCGGCCCGCACAACAGCTCTATGATGAGCCAAAGTCATGACAAGAAAGCGAGCCGGCTCCTGGTGACCGCCGTTTCTTCATGTCCCAGATCCATGGATTTCGGACCAAGTCTTCACAAGATTCAGGTTTCCCGCAACTGCCATGCAGGTTGGCTTCACTTGGAAGATTTGGCCTTAATCTCTTGAGGGTCACTAACTGCTTTGTCTCCAATGCTCAGGAATTCGGAGGGAACCATTCGTGTAAGGTCGAGCGTCATAGCCTCAAATGCTTGAGCAAGAGACCGCCCAAGAAATTGGTACCGTTTCCTTGAGATATTGAGCTAGCTGTGCAGCGTCTGGGTTTCTAGCTTCCTGTTCGGGTGCTGCGTGACTCTTGATTCGATTCGCTTTGCAGGCCGTAAAGGGGGCCTAATGCTTCCCCATGGGCAAGTTGGATTCTTTTGGCAGATGCGTACCTTCTCCATTCAAGGGGTTTTGGAGGAGGAAATGTTAAGCTTTCGTTTCCGTCGGCGTCGCCTGTGGGTGCCCAGGGGCTTGTGCTCACAATAAAAGAAGCATCAGAGGTGAAGCTAGCGACCAGCAAATCAGTCCATTAAACACTCCAGTGACAAGAAGGATGAAGCCAAGATGAAGCTAGCTGAACCTGAGGGTGAATGCCAGACGTTCATCCGCCAATAGTTCGGCCCATCTCTCCAGCTTCGCAGCTGTCGACCACAATTGTTGCTTCAGGATTGTGTCGCAGGCCTCCATCAAGGGTCGTATCTATGACAAAGACTACGAGTGGGGTACTACTTCTTCCTGAGGAGGATTAAGCTGCTGTGGAAGGATGTTGAGTCTCAGGAAGTTCTGTCAACTCCGTCCAGCAGAGGAAACAGCCACAGTGCCTTGCTAAAGTGAGGAGCACACAAGCTAGGTCTCGACATGTTGTGTTTCGAAAGATACTTGTACAGGCTGCTAGAAGCTTGAAAGCACCTCTTCCAGCTGTCAAGGTCAGTTTTGTAAGATCTACCGCCTGCAGCAGATTGGTCCAATGTTCTGTTGTGTGTCAGGTTTACAGTGAGATTCACCGTTTGAACTGTCAGGGCACTCCTTTGCTGAGTTTCCTTTTTACTGCTGAAGCTCGTGGGGCTTCGCCACAGGGAATGCTTCCTCAGGTATTTGCGCATTTGGGTGCGTTGTCATACAGGTCTTTCTGTGTTGGAGTGACAGGAAGAGTCAACAAGTGACAGGGGTCGCTGCCCTGGTCGTGCCAGCTCTCAGGTCGCCATAAGTTTTACGGTGCCAGCTTTGCACAGCTCTGAGAGTCCTAGAGTCCCGGAGCTTCAGACTCCTTCCATGTGAGATCTCTAAGTTGATGAGGCCTCCGAGGCCCAGGCGGCCCAAGCTTCGACTTTCAAAGCCCAAGATTTGTCAGAGAATCCAGGTGACAAGCAGAGACCAGCACCATCGATTGTCGAATCTATTCAACTGCGTGGCACATCTCTCAGCTGGACATGCATAGCCCCGATCCATCGGGTGAAACCAAGTATGAAGCCAAGCTTCTTTCTGTTTGATGGTGAGGAACGGCCAGAGAAAGGGCTGAGGTTCTCTAGCTTCGGAATTGCCCATTTCTGTTGTGTCAGTTCTTAAAGATGCTTTTGACACTTATTTCATCTGAACAGCATTCCATCGCAATGCCAGCCCGCAAAGCTGCTCTACGAGTTCGGCGGGGAGGAGTTTTTGGCTCTTGCGCTGCCAGTGCCTTCTTCTTTGCCCGACGGGTGGAGAGAGAAGGACCTCAAGGACCCCTGACATCTTGGAGTCGGCGAAGCCGCCGCTAAAAGATCATTGTCTCATCACATGAGCTTATGAGCTTTGGTGGAGTAAGTGGTGCATTCCTGCGAAGATCCTGAAGGTGCCGAAGCTGGCGGGGTGCCAGCTTGGCTTCCTGATTGTTTGCTCTGCCAGGCGCAGATCCAGTTAAATACAGGCGCTGAAATCCCTGAGCCCAATGAGCCCAAGGCTGCTCTCTGCGACTTGGCATTGGCTTGTAATGATTTGACCGCAAAAAAGAAGTCCTTTGGAAGCGCATTTGGCCAAGAAATTAAGATCTTGTACTTCCGACCAGCACTTTCATATCAAGATGCTCGACACAAAGCTGTAGCGCTTCGGAAGTGTTGCAGAGCGCATCAAGCATTCAATTTGCGGTTGACAATGGCACTGCTTTGCAGCGTTCAGTGTTTGGGTGGTAACCTACATGCCGCAAAATTGATACCGCACCTCAAGAATAAGAAGCAAGGGCGGTTTGCAGGGAGAATTTGTGGACTCCTCAAGAGGCACGTCGCAATGGCAACCAGAATCAGGAAGGCTCACGGACGTGTGCCAGCTTGTAGGTGAACATATAGATTGGATGTGATTGGATGCCAAGAGGGCACGAGGGCACAAGCAAGGCTGAGGCCAAGAAGTATAGCAAAGCTGCTGCCCAGCAATTCCTGAAGTTGCTGTGACAAGTGTTCCAGCTTCCTGATGCGTCGAAGCTGTGCTACATCAACGTTCAACTGCTTGGATCGGCTTGATTTTGCTCTGAAGCGGCGCCTGCGGGATGCCCAACATACTCAGAGCCCGAGGGTTGCATGCACTTGTCACAAGTGCTGCCTACAGGTTTTGTGCGCACCAAGTGCCTCCCCATGAGCTGAAGAAGCGAGTTGCAATAGTCGTTTTCAAAGACTCTCCATTGTCAGACGTGTCTCTTCTCCACTAACATGTTCAGCAAGTGTTGTTGAGTGCGCCCAGCCGCAGGTTGGTCACCAAGTGCATTCTTGCTCGTCGGCCAAGGGGCTTGTGTGGCCATTTAAGAGTCAGACTTGCTCTCGCTTCTTGATGCAAAGGTACTTGCAGCAGATGACATTGTTCTTTTCACGATCGAGGGTGCTATTTTTGTCCGTGAATGTCACCTCCAACTGCTGAAGCAGAGTTTGCAAGCTTGTGCAAAACAGGATCTGTATTAGTAATGCAAACTACATCCAGATCTACTGTCCCCTCACTTTGTGGCTGATAGAGCTGCTACCATGCGCTGTACCCCTTGACACTCTTTGTGATTCAGCCCCATTGGCCTCACTTTGTCCGTCAAGAAACACTTCAGCAGCACAAGCTTCGCTCTGTGCGTGGATTGACGGCATGGCCACTATGCCGGAGAAAGCCGGTGGAAGGGTAGGGCCCAAGGTGGCGCTGGTAGCTTCGATTGGGGGACTGGTTGGCATGTTGGCTTGAGTTCGGTTTCTGTGTCGCGATCCGGAGTTGCAAGTCGACGGATGACGACATGCAGACCGGTGCTGCCTGAAGGCGCAGGTCAGTGGTTTTCCATGCAGCAACCAGTGGGTGATGCCTTAAAGCATCACATCTCCCAATCATGTGGTGGTGGTGAAGCAGAAAGCTACCAGCGAGCGGACAGAGCCTTGGAGGCAAGTAGATCCACCCAGAATGTTCTGAGAGCCAAGTTGGGTAGTCGATAGATTCGCGTTGCGTGATTCGAAAACGGTCTATTTTATGACTCAAATTCACTCATGGTGTTTGCAGGAGGCCATGATTGGATTTGACAGTTAATTCAGTTCAACCTTCGATCCCATTCTACTTTCACTTGGAGGCCATCGCTAGTAGGTTGGAGGCCATCGCTAGTAGGTTGCAGGCCATCGCTAGTAGGTTGGAGGCCATCGCTTCTAGTAGAGGTTGGAGGCCATCGCTTCTAGGTTGGAGGCCAGCGCTAGTAGGTTGGAGGCCATCGCTTCTAGGTTGGAGGTCATCGTTAGTCTGTTGGAGACCATCGCTAGTAGGTTGGAGGCCATCGCTGCTAGGTTGGAGGCCTTCGCTAGTAGGTTGAAGACCATCGCTTCTAAGTTGGAATCCATCGCTAGTAGGTTGGAGGCCATCGCTTCTAGGTTGGAGGCCATCGCTAGTCTGTTGGAGGCCATCGCTTCTAGGTTGGAGGCCATCGCTAGTAGGTTGGAGGCCATTGCTAGTAGCTTGGAGGCCATCACTAGTCTGTTGGAGACCATCGCTTCAAGGTTGGAGGTTGGGGGCCATCGCTTCTAGGTTTGAGGCCATCGCTAGTAGGATGGAGGCCATTGCTAGTAGGTTGGAGGCCATCATCGCTAGTAGGTTGGAGGCCATCGCTTCTAGGTTGAAGGCCGTCGCTAGTAGGTTGGAGGCCATCGCTTCTAGTAGAGGTTGGAGGCCATCGCTTCTAGGCCATCGCTAGTAGGTTTCAGGCCAGCGCTTCTAGGTTGGAGGTCATCGCTAGTAGGTTGGGGGCCATCACTTCTAGGTTGGAGGCCGTCGCTAGTAGGTTGGAGGCCA